GACTTTTTACAATAACGAACTAATACAATATTTGTCCTTCTGTGATTGACTTATTTCGTTCAGCAAAATGTCTTCCAAGTTCATCCACATTATGTGGTGTTTTGCAGATTCTGTGTTATTCTTTGGGATTACATAGTATTCCATTGTGTGTATGTACCATAGTTTGCTTATCCATTCTTCTTTTGATGGTCACCTAGACTGTTTTCATCTTCTTGATATTATAAATAGTGCTGTGTTGAACATGAGTGTGCATATCTTTCTTGATCTGGTTCTCACTTCTTTAGAATGCATACCTAGTATGGAATTGCTGGGTCAAATGGTATTTCTAATTCCAACTTTTTAAGGAATTGCCATACTGCTTTCCACAGTGGTTGTATCATTTTACAGTCTCACCAGCAGTGTATCAAGAGTCCCAATCTCTCCACATCCTCGCCAGCATTTGTTATTCTCTGTCTTGTTGATCTTTGCTACTAGTGCTGGAGCAAGACGGTATCTCATTGTTGTTTTGATTTACATCTCTCTAATGGCTAATGAGGAGCTCTGGTAGCATAATGGCTAAAGCACTTGACTGCTAACCAGAAGGCTTGCGGTTCAAACCCACCAGCCACTCCTCGGAAGGAAGGTTGGGCAATCCTACTTCCATAGTGATACTGCCTCGGAAACCCAAGGAGTGGTCGCTATGAGTCGGGGCCGACTCAACGGCACATAACAACAACAGCAACAACAAAGGCTAATGATCGTGAACATTTCTTCATGTGTTTGTTGGCTGCCTGAACATTCTCTTTGGTGAAGTATCTATTCATGTCTTCTGCTCATTTTTTAATTGGATTATTTGTCTTTTTGTTGTTGAGGTGTTGGAGTTTTGTATAAATTTTAGAGATAAGTCCCTTATCAGGTGTATTGTTCCCAAATATTTTTTCCCAATCTGTAGGTTCTCTTTTGACTCTTTGGAAGAGTCTTTGGAAGCACATAAAAATTTAATTTTTAGAATGCCCCATTCATCTAGCTTATCTTCTGCTCTTTGTGTACTTTGGGTTGTACTTGATTGTCTATTTAAGCCATATAATAAGGCTCCTAAATTTGCCCCTATTTTTTCCTTGAGGAACTTTTATAGTTTTAGGTTTCACATGTAAGTCTTTGATCCATCTGGAGTTAGTTTTTGTGTATGGTGTGAGGTACTGATCTTGTTTCATTTTTCTGCAAATGGATATCCAGTTTTGCCAGCACCGTTTATTAAATAGACAGTTTCTTCCCCGTTTAATGGATTGCAGCCCTTTGTCAAAGATCAGCTGACCATAGGTCAGTGAATCTATTTCTGGATTCTCAATTCTGTTCCATTGGTCTATATGTCTGTTTTACCAATACCAGGCAGTTTTCACTACTGTGGCTATATAGTAGGTTTTGAAATCTGGCAGTGTGAGACCTCCTACTTTGTTCTTCTTCTTCATTAGTGCTTCGCTTATACGAGATCTCTTTCCTTTCCATATAAAGTTAGTGATTGGTTTTTTCGTATCCTTAAAGAATGCTGATGGGATCTGTATTGTGATTGCATTGAATGTATAGATTGCTTTAGGTAGTATGGACATTTTCACAAGGTTCAATCTTCCTATCCATAAGCATGGTATGTTCTTCCATTTATGTAGATTTCTTAATAGTTTCTTGGGGTAGTGAGTTTTCTTTGTATGGATCTTTTGTGTCCCTAGTGATACTTATTTGTGAGTATTTTATTTTCTTCATAGCTATTGTAAATGATACTGATTTCCTTATTTCTTTTTCAGCAGTCTCTCGGCTGGTGTAAAGAAGTCTAACTGATTTTTGGATGTTAACCTTGTATCCTGCCACAATGCTAAATTTCAATTAGTTCCAGTAGTTTTTTGCTGAGTCTCTTGGGTTTTCTAGGTATAGGATCATATCATCAGCAAATAGGGGTAGTTTGACTTCTTCCTTACCAATTTGGATGCCTTTGATTTCCCTTTCTTGCCTTATTGCCCTGGCTAGGACTTCTAATACAGTGTTGAATAGAAGTGGTAATAGAGGGCATCCTTGTCTGGTTTTTCTTCTTTTTGTTTTATTTTGGAAAATTCCAGACACATACAAAATAAAAAAGAATAAAATATTGAACTGCCACATACTCATCACTAGCTTCAACGGTGATCAACTCATAACCACTCTTTTTTCCTGTCTGCCCACCTACTGTACTCCCCAGTAAACTGGATTATTTTAAAGCATATCCCAGACATTATATCATATCATATCATCTGTAAACATTTCACTAAGTAGCTCTAAAAGACTCCAAGGACTTTTTCTTAAACATAATCACACAACCACGATCACACACACACACACACACACACACAAACAGTAATTCCCTAATATCCCATTTCTAGTCACTGTTCAAATTCCATTGATTTTCTTTTTTTTTTTTTTTTTTTTTTTTTACAATTGGCTTGTTTGAGTGAGGAGCCACATAATGCCCACACATTGCATTTGTTGATTTGTCTCTTAAGGTTCTTTTAGTCTATAGATTCCTCTAGTCTTTTATTGCCTTTCCATTTACTATCTTTGTTGGTGTGGAAGAAATCAAGTCTTTTTATAAAAAAAGAAACATGTAAGTTATTATTTTTATAGCACATTAATCTTGATTGTGTTTTATTAAACCAATACATAATTAAGCTTTAATTCCTTAAGTATAGACCCAAAGGTGGTAGAAGGCAGCCCCTAGGTACATTCAGTGCGAAACCAAGGATAACCTATTGGTGTCAAGTAGATTCTGACTTATAGTAACCTCACGTGTTACAGAGTACAACTGCTCCATGAGGTTTTCTTGGCTATAAGCAGATCACCAGGCGTTTCTTCCATGGCACCCTTGGGTAGGTTCAGACAACCTACCTTTAGATTAGTAGACAAGAGAAAACTATTTGCATCACCCAGGGACCAAGCCAAAGATACTTAGGAATGAATGTTAACCGAAATAAACAGTGATACATGGTCCCAGCATCTTTGTCCTGGTCCCTACTTGAACCCTGGGCCCCTGCGAGCCTTTCAGCAAGCAAGGCCTGTGGTGTTACTTAATCAAAATCTTGGACAATGCTGGAACACTCTTTTTGTATCTTAAGTTCATGGCCAGCACCCTCCTCCCTGCCCTGCCTCTGTATTCCCTCTAATATGAAAGAGGTATTAACAAAGCAAGAATTTCCCTGTAGTTCAGAGGTCAACAAAAGGGGAAGATGAATGAGGGTGAGAGAAAGCTGTTGGCTTTCTGTGACTTGAGTGGCATGGGTCCAAGGTCAGAGTAAGAACATGCCTGGCAGAGGCAGCAAGCTGTGGACCACTGATTGGGGAACCTGTCCCTCAGGCCAAAGGGAAGATGTTCACAGTCCTGCATAGCCAGGGTCCCGCCCATGTTATCTGGCCTGTCCTTTCTGTCCCTGCAGTGCTTGAGTGTGTCCCAGCACACTTACAGTGTGACCTTTTCCCCTCTGAAAGTGATGTTCATCTTCACTTTGAACCTGTCACAGGCCATTAAAACCACACACCATTTCACTTTTAACTCCCACTACTTCATATATTTCTTATATTCTTATATACTACTTATATTTTAACCATGATGTCATGGGAAATGTTTGCTGTTCCAAAATCAGGAGTGTGGCAGCTTTGGGGAAATTTTTTTTGGAAACTTCCTGGGCTTTAAAATATCAACCACCCAGATCCCCTCTCTTGTCATCTGGAAGATGATGACACCCAGATTAATTCCCAGGGTGGAAGATTAATTCCCAGGGTGGAAGTAGGCCTTGAGATCAGAAATCTCCCAAATGAAGGTTTCTTTTTAACTAACTTGGGCTCATCAGTTGCCTGTGTTTGGATTCATACCCAAGGTAAGAAAATGTGTTGAGGGGGCAGGCAGCAAGGCAGTGTGGGGATTAGCTCATTGGTGTTTGCTGCCCTGACACCTGGATCCTAGAGGCTTGCAGAGAATGTTGGCAGTGCTGTCCCTTCCCTCTGCATGGGATGGAGTCAAGAACGTGGCTCTTAAGTCAAGCCCAGACTTCAGTCATACCTTAATATTTCATTGTGACCCAAGGCACATCACTGGACCTAGTCCTTGGTTTCCTAATCTGGGAAATGGGGATAATATTACCTGCCTAGTGCCACTCCTGGGAGCTCTGGTGGCATAGTGCCTAAGGCATTTGACTGCTAGCCAGAAGGCTGGCGGTTCAAACCCATCACCCACTCCTCGGAAGGAAGATTGGGCAATCTACTTCCATAGTGATACCACCCGGAAACCCAAGGAGGAGTCACTGTGAGTTGGATTTGACTGGACGGCAGTGAGTTAGCGTGCCCCTGATGGGAAGTTAGAGACCATGCCCCCACGTTAGGGAGGCCTAGCACCTGCCAACCACACCTGAGCTGTGTGTAAGGATTGCCTCACTGCTTTTGCTGCTTTTTTTTCTTGCCCCTTGACAGTTCTAATACTAATTAAAAGAAAGATTTTCTTGCAGAAGATCAAATTTCATGATTTTCCTTTACCTCTCAAAGAGCAACAAAAGAATTTTTATTTTTTCCTTTTAGGTTTTTCCCTAAAAAACTGCTTCTCCACCCACCCTCCCCTTACACACTCTTGTTATTAAGCCTGAAAAACATGCTTGCAGGGTAAGACACAGCACAGAGAAAACGTTCAAATGACAATTGAAGGAGACGCTGGTCTGACAGGTTCTGGAAGAGGATGTCACTGAGTGTCACCAACCAAGCCCCTACCCCTAGAGAGATTTCTCACCGGGGTTATGTTCATGGTACTATTACAGTTTCTCCATAGGCTTTCCCTACAGATGATAGTTTGAGTGCCACACTTCAGAGCCCCAGTTCCCACATAGGAGCTGGGAAAGCTGAGCTGTCTACTAAAGCACCTTGCTCCAGGCACAAGAGTCTTACGTCCTGGCCTGCACCAGCCATGTCCTCAACACAGCACACTCCCGCTCACTCTCACTTTGTTGTTCTTTTAGGGCCCAGGAAACCTTCATGCAGTGGGATCATTGCCGGAGGTTTTACAACTTCCTCATGGCTGACAACATGAAGAAAATCATCCTCTCGCACAGGTACCTTTACTTTCTGCTCTCCCTAGGGAGACGGACAGCTCCTTTCTCAGCTTCTTTAAAAACTCCGACTCATGGTGACCCCATGTGTGTCAGAGTAGAACTGTACTCCATAGGCTTTTCCATGGCTGATTTTTGGGAAGTATATTGATTGCCAGGCCTTTCTTCTGAGGTACCTCTGCGTGGACTCAAACCTCCAACCTTCTAGTTGGTTAGCCACTGACCACGTTAGCCATTTGCATTACCCGAGGAGTCTTGAGCTTCTTTAGGTGTCAACAAAAGCCAGAACTCTTGTTTCTCAGGTGGGAAAAAGGAAGGTGGGGGTGGTGCAGACTCTTTACTGACTGGGCTTGTTTCTTGCTTAGAAACAAACTTGTCCCAAGCCACCAGAGGTTTGCCAAATCACCTTCTGCTTTCATAATTCCCAGTAAATTAAGGATAAAAAACCACCTCTATACCACTCCTTCCTAAATGAGAGTAATGCTAAGGGTGATTTATCATTGTCTGGGTAGCCTTCCTGCTCAGGAAGGCTTTTTGTGCTTGGGGATCAAGAATCATTGTGGACTCTTTGCCAAAGGCCCCAGGGATTCTGACCAAGCAGCAGGTGTCAGGTGTCCACACCCACACCTCCCTGCTCACACCGCTATATAAGTCAGCACTCTATCCTGCCTCTCTTCTGCCCAGAGTCCTTCAGTGGGTCAACCCCTGCCAAGTGCTTCAACCGGGCCTGGTGGGCAGTATCATTTGATAAATACTAGCAGTGATTTTTATCATCGTGGTTATTATTATTATTCTCGCTTCTTCCTCCCCCACACGTCTCGTCCACTTCAGCTGGATGGCAGTACACCCTCACAGACCACATGCGACTCCTCCCCCACACCACAGCTCTTCCCAGCCCATCCTGTAAGGCCCTTCTCTGTCCTCCTGCCTCTGGGGAAGCCAACTCCTCCACTTTTGTGTCACCAACTAAACTGTAAAGCTTTGGAGGGCTTGGGCCTATTTGGAATTCCTCAGAGCCAGGCACATAATGGGCACTCAAAAAATACAATGTTTTGGTTTTCTGACACTACCTTAAGAAAAGCAATTTGACTAAATGATCAGTTTCTTATTCTCTTTTTTCAATGGTGAAAAGAAAACGTGTTTGTGTCCGTCCCACCATGCACACTAGACTGGGCCTCCTGCAAGAAAGGCTCCATGGGCCTGGGCCAGGCTGCTGCTCAAACCCCTCAGGCTGCCATGTTGCCTTGTGTGTCCTCAGTCATATCCTCAAATCCTCATGTGGGGTGGGGGCAGCCAAAGGAGAAGATCTGTGTCCCCTGAGCTAGTTGACGTAAACTATGGCAAATGCATATGGTTTGAGCGTTCTGTGTGTGGCCTTGAGTAGGGTGGGGCTCAGCTGAGATTGAATGGGTCCCAGGATTTGCTGAGGCCACATAGCCAGAAGGGTGAAGCCAGGCCTCTGTCCTCAAACCCAAATCATCTGCCCACTTTTCCACACCTCTGAGACCAAAAGCAACTCCTCTCAGGGAACGTTTCTGCTTTGCCAAAATGCTTGGTATTGCTGTTGATTAGTCCAGAAAGTTCATCACCTAATTCTTAGCAAATTGGGAGAAATCTTTAGGTGTGCTCTAAGTATATATACTCTTTTTAAATTTACAGTAGGAACCCAAACATGTAGGCATTTTAGAGAAACTTTAAATGGTGAATTCTATCCCATAGGTAGAAATCTATCCAAATAAATAATTGTTTGAAAAAAACAGATGCTAAAGAAACTTGTTCCTCCTCTTGTGGAGAGGGTGGGATGGATCCCAGAATGTCTCGTTTCCATAATGAACTTTCCCTGCTGTAGGACCAGACCTCACAGCACACTTGGTCCTCCTTCAGCTCTATGATTCAGAATGGAAGTCTAAAGTGTGCTTATTTTGTCTTTTTTTAAAATTGTGATTTAAATTTGTGAAAGTTTACAGAGGAAATTCATTTTCCATACAGCAGTTCATACACATTTTATTTCATGACATTGACTGCATTCCCCATAATAGCTCTCTTCCCATTTCCTCCCTATGGTTACCTTTTCCCTGTGTCCTTCTTTCCTATGAATTCCTGCCCTCTGAGCTATCTCCCTGTGCAAATACTATGCTTCTGATCTCCAAGGCTGCTCCTTTTGGCCCCTACCTTTCTTGTCATTCTCTCAAGATGGATTTTTTTTTATTCCTTAATGCAAGGGGGTTACTCTATTGAATAGGTTAGGTTTTTAGCTAATAGGTCCCAGAGCTATTGATTTGCCCAAATACTAACCATTGTCTTCTTTGTTAAGTGGTACAAATAGCTCATAAAGGGAAAGGGGCTTTGCCCAAGGTGGACTGTATCAACACATGTGAAGTTGGGACCCATACTTTGCAGCAAAGGCCCCCCACTATTAGGCCCACTGCCCACCACTCCCCCACAGAGCCCATTCTGAGACCTCCTCTCTGTGCTGTGAAGGTTTGGTAATATTTAGTTCGCCTCAAACCCAATATTTAGTTTGTCTTGGTGCCTCCAGCAGTGCACAGAGTGCATCTTTGCCCCGGAAAGGGATATAGGTCTCAAGGTCCATCTTTCTGCAGTTATTCAAAAGTCAGCAGTGTAAACACTTCTTCAAAGTTACCATAGCATCACTTTGAACTCTTGGCTACCCAGTGTGTTGCAGAGTAGAACTGCTTTATAGGGTTTTCTTGACTGTAATCCTTCCAAAAGCAGATCACCAGGCCTTTCTTCCGTGGTGTCACTGTGTGGGTGCAAACTGCCAACTGTAGGTTAATAGCCAATAGCACACCACTTGAGCCACTCAAGGACCTCTTCTAAAGGCTAATGGGATCTATTTCTAAGTTATCCACATAAGCTTTGTCACAGACGTTCCCTCCTGGTTTGCCTCTCTGCTCTGCTATATTTGTTTGTCATCTACTTTTTATTCTGTTTGCTTGTGTGTCTTGTTCCAGGCAAGCTCTTTTTGGAGACCGTGTTAAGAAACCCCAGTTCCTGGAGGACACAGACCTGAGCCGGCTCTACACAGCAACATCCCTGATGCAGATTGATGACAACGTGATGAGGTATGTCCAGGCTGAGGGGAGGAGCGCTCAGGGCAGGGTGCTCAGCCCAGCACAAGTGAGTTGCTCTGGACACATTAGTGTTAGTGATTCCCTGAATACGTTTCCAATGTTTAAACACAGAAGATCTCACAGAAAAATTCAGATTTCTAATTTCTCTTGGAAAACAGTGAGGAGATTGGACTATGGCTCTGTGGCCCTCCATGGCATAAGCACCTTGAACCAAGAAGCAGCCACTCTCTAGATGGGGATGATCCTATAGATAATTACTACAGATAACAAGTGTTGATTAGTTACTCTGGACCAGTCACTGTGTTAGTAAGCACTTTGATGTCACAAACCTCACAGCGCCATTAAGGCAGGTCCTATCTCAGAGGAGAAGCCGAGGCTCATAGAGGTTAAACCGTTTGCCTAAGGTCATTCAGTGGCAGAGTCAGGACTTGAATCCAGATGCCAAAGCCAGTGCTCTTAACCGCTGGACTCTGCTGCCTCTGTATATTCTACTGGTAGGAGTTAGTTTAGAGCTAGAGCAGTAATGAAATCAGCTCAGCCTTCAGATCTTATGACAAATGTTGTTTTAAACTTTTCCTTTTTCTTTTTCTGGTGTGTCCCAGGAAGTTTCATGGCTATAACTCCCTGAAGGAATATTATGAGGAAGAAAGCTGCATGAGGTACCTGCACAGGGTGAGTGACCAGCACCAGCCTGGGGTAGGAGCATCTCAGAATGAGCGTCCCTCTGCCAGCCTCACATGCAATACAACATCCGCCCTTCCAACACTTCCCACATAGAAGCTCTGCCAGACTCTGCCTCCGATTCCTCTGGATCTTGACCTCTGTCCCTCTGTAACCTCCCTGTGGTAATCCCAACATTGCAGTGCAGGGCCAGTCTCCTCCCATGTCTGTGTGAAAGCCCTTAAAATTGCTGGCACACCTATTTTTCCTTTGGTCAATATAATGCTGCCCAGTTCCTGCCATCATTCCTCATGGGAGATCATTTAGATTTCCTGTCACCCAGGACCCTTGCTCTGGCCATGTGTATTTTGTTAATGTAGTGCTTAGGCCTAAACTCAGAATGTCTGCTTTGCATGACCTGGTGAGCACAGAGCAAAATGGATGTATTTCTCTAACAAAATGATGAAGATCATGTCTATTGATAAGTTAGACTGGTTTATTTTAATGCAGTTTTTAACAGCTGCAATATACTTTATATTAAACCAAGCTTGTGCTCAACGGAAAAAACAGAAACTCCATATTTTTTTTTTTTTACCTGAACCCCTGCCAAACCAGTCTCCCTCATTCCTTCCCTGCACAATTGATCCTTTTACCCAAACACAAGACTTCCCATGTATCCTTGCCATGTCCATGTGTTAGTGTGGCCCAGGTAAATTAAACCAGGTAATTGTGAATTATAGTCATGTCGGCCATCTTTCCTAGTTTAGCATCCTCACCCAGGCTTGTGGTGTCTTCATTTAAAACCATAATGGAAGCACTAAGCTATCCAAAGCCAGATGTCAGAGACTCCAGGTTAACATAACTACTCGTTAGGCTTCCAGCAGCATCTGAATCTACCTATCATCACCATCTCCACCAAAACACCGAGAGAAGGCTGTTGGCTGTTGTGCAAAAGTGGGTGTTGGTTGCAGCTTTGCCAAGAGCTTCCCAAAATCCTCCAACCTGTTCTCAACCTTCAGATTCTTCTGAAAAATCTCCTTTGTGTGGAGCAGAGCACACTCCTTTTTGCTCCCCACCATATAAACCGAGTGAATGTATACATAAGTCTTTGTAAAGTCATCATTCTAGTAGGTCTGGCTAATCTGAAACTCTGGGAAGATCATCAAAAATATCTTGCCAGTGAGCTTCTTTAAGTACATACTCTCTCAACGTCAGAGCAACTGGGTCATCTAGAACACCGTGGACCTTTGTTCTTGTACACGCCCACCAGGGCTGTAATCACAGCAGCAGTTATAATTCATTCTACTGGCAGTGAGTCCAAGGCATCCTTAATCCACCTGTTCAACAAGCTGAGCAGTGACCCTCTTCCCTTTGCTTCAAAGACATGTCCAGTAGTGAATTTGGACTTGAATCATGGGGTCTGAAAAAGGGAATCAATAATTTGAGTCTGCTTTGTCTTCTCACTGCAGATTTATGTGCCTCTCATGCTGGTTAACGCAGCTGATGACCCCTTGGTGCATGAAAGTCTTCTAACCATTCCAAAATCTCTTTCAGGTAAGTGTTTCTTCCTGCCGCTCCCCTCAACCACTCAGCAAATTGCCACAGTAAATTCTGTCACCTTCACCACACTATCATTTCCTGGAGACCAACGATGGGGGGGACGGTCATCTGGTGCAGTGTTCTTACTCAGCCTCTCCTGATATTGCTGGGCTTTGACACTGAGGCCTTCTCATATTCCATCCTGTTGCAGGAGGCAGGACTACTGTACATTATCTATAGCCAAATGGGGTTTTTGGTAGTTACCTGAAGTTTCATGACATGATTGTCTCAGGATTATGGTTCCATTAAGTCTGAGAGTTTGACTTAAACAGTTTTAAGTTTTAAACTGAAAACTTAACCTGAAAAGCCAGTTCTGCTACTTTTTATGGCAACCTCTCTATCTGCTTTGAGGATAAAAATATAAGCAATTGAAACAGCAAAGAACTTTGCTCACAGGAACTTCACTATGCTTCCAGCTAGTGCTATCTTGTTCCACACTGGCTAGGAGTAGGAGAAACTAGAGAGAGGGTAGCAAAAGGAAACACCTAGGAATTTCAAACTAGCTTAGCATTGTAATATCAGACCCTTAGGAAGGAGCCTTGCCTGTGCATCGCTTAAGCACTTGGCTGCTAACTTAAAGGATGGTGGTTCTAACCCACCTAGCTCCATGGGACACAGATGTGATGATCTGCTTCCATAAAGATTAAAGACAAGAAAACCTTATGGGGTAATTCTACTCTTGTCATACTAAAAACAGATCCGTGCCTGGTGCATTTCTCACCAATAGAAACCACATCAGGGTGACAGAAACCAAAACCAAACCAAACTCACTGCCATCAAGTAGATTCCGACTCATAATGACCTCCGTTGGGTTTCCAAGGCTGTAAATCTTTATGGAAGCAGACTGCCCCATTTTTCTTCCTCAGAGCAGCTTGTAGTTTCAAACCACCCACCTTTTGGTTATCAGTCAAATGCCTTAGGGGTGTGGGAAAGAGAGGGCTTTATTCTTTAGCAAGGGGGACAGATATTCCACCTCAGATTCGTCTGACCTCTGGGAGCAGCTTGCTGGTTTTTATAGGTTGCTGAAGAAGGGTGACATTGTTACAGGTTTAGATATATGCCAAACATATACAAACATTTTCAGCATTTTGCACAGTTACAAAAGATTACATCATAATTCTCATTATCATATAAGCATGATTCATTACCAAACTAAATCTCTGCCCAGGGGCATGATTTTTACCTGTTAACTTACTTGCACTGACCTGTTGCTAGAACCAAAAAGTTTATAGCAAAAACAGGAATTACTACTTTTTTGAGAAACTACAAAGAGCATAAGGTTTATCAGTAACTAAATGTCTGGGTGCTTTGAGTTGAAACAACTACAACAAGATGACATAATCCCCCCTCCCTCAATCACCCCCCATCCTCCACAGTTCTCTGTGTCTAAATTTCCCCTTGTAAGTTGTTGTTGTTGTTGTTGTTATGTGCCATCGAGTTGGACCCAACTCACAGCAACCCCTCCTTGGGTTTCCCAGGCGGTATCACTATGGAAGTAGATTGCCCAACCTTCCTTCCGAGGAGTGGCTGGTGGGTTTGAACCTCCAGCCTTCTGGTTAGCAGTCACGTGCCTTAGGCACTATGCTACCATCATGTATTAACCAGTGGGATTCTGATTCTGAATATGTCTGGACCAAAGCTAAAGCAGCCAAAGCTGTTTCACTGCTCAAGATGAAGGCTGCGTGTTTTGGAGGTCTCTTTGTGTCTTGTAATACAGGCTATGTCCTGCCAACCCCTTATCACAAACCGTAGGCACACTACTACCCCAGAGCAGCCACTAGGCCACGTGTGTGGCAGTGAAAAAAGCAACAGCACTTGCGTGCCTCTCTGTATCTAATGTTGCAGCCGTTGCTCTAATGCTTTCACCCAAAAAACTTACAAAACAGTGACTGGAAAGGAAGAGTAAAGGGGGTGAGACAAGAAAAGAGCTCTGCAGTGCCAGGAAAGGTAGTGCTCCCAGGCCTGGAGCACCCAGCAGGGGGCTCATTTGTAGTTACTTCCCAGAAGACAGGTGCTTCCTGTTGTACCTGGCTGTTCATTTTATAAGGAGCTCTGGTGTCACAGTGTTTAAGGCATTTGACTATTAACCTGAAGGTTGGCAGTTCAAACCCACCAGCTGCCCCACGGAAGGAAGATGGGGGAGTCTGCTTCAGAAACCCAGTGGAGGTCACTATGAGTCAGAGTTTACTCGATGGCTGTGGGTCTGGTTTTGGTGTTTTGGGTTCATTTTACCCACGTCTTCAATAATAACCCTTCACTAGCCTGCATGGGGCTAACATAAATGTGGGTTCCTAAAGTTATGAATTCTCCAGATGGCCATTTAGCATTGCCATTGAAAGGTGTGGGCATCTTTTAACACATCTTGCAGCTTTTAGTTAAATTTTAGTCTTGAAGATCAACGTCAATGACAAATCATTAATTCCATTGAATTCTCCTTCTCATCTAGTAAATAATAGTATAAATACTATGAATCCTTACTTAGAGTCTGGCCCCCACCAGTAACAGTGGCATTGCTGGAAAGTTTGTTAGAAAAGCAGACTCTCAGTTCCTCCCCAAGGCTATTAAACCTGGAGTCTGCATTTTAACAATTCCCCAAGTGTTTCACGTGGGAATTGCCTGGGGAGCTTTAACAATACTTGTTCATAGGTTTCCCTTCACCCTTACCCCCTCAGAGATCCTGATTTAGTTGATCTGTGGTATAGCCTAGCACAAAACCAGTTGCCATGGAGTCGAGTATGACTTATCAGTTTATCACAACCCAGGCATGTCGGAGTACAACTGCTCTCCATAGGATTTTCAATGGCTGATTTTCTGAAGTAGATCGCCAGGCCTTTCTTCTAAGGCACCTCTGGATAGACTAGAATCTCCAGCCTTTTGGTTAGCAGCTGAGTGCATTAACTGTTAACCACCCAGGGACTCCTCAGCCTTGAATAAACTCCAAACCAAACCCACTACCAATGAGTCAACTCCAACTCACAGTGACCCTGTAGGGCAGAATAGAACTGCCCCATAAGGTCTCCAAGGCTATAAATCTTTACAGAAGCAGACTACCTCATCTTTATCCCACAGAGTGGCTGATAGGTCCAAACCACCAATCTTTTGGTAATCATCAGAATGCTTTGACTACTCTGCCACCAAAAACCCCAGATTACTCTAATGTATGACAGAGTTTGAGAACTGCCGGGGTAGAGTTCTAAAACTTTCTTAAGCTGGTGTCCGTTTGTTCCAACACCAAACTGGAATAGTTCCAAAAACAGCTAGGTCCCACTATTTTGCCTGCCGTATCAGCTTTCCCTCCTACTTTTGAAAAAGATAGGTGAGTAGAGGTTGGATGCCTACTTAGCTGACATTCACCTGTGGGGAAAGCCTAGACACCCCCATGGCCAGCTTACCTTAGCACTTCCTGCCTTGGAACTAGGAGTCCATGAATGGTTAAGGCACTCACTGATAACCAAAATGTTGGATGTTCAAGTCCACTTAGAGATGCTTGGAAGAAAGGCCTGGTGGTCCACTTCCAAAAAACTAACCATTAAAAACCCTATGGAGCGTAGTTTTACTCTGGCACACATGCGGTCACCATTAGTTGATTCTGATTCAACAGCACTTGGTTGGTTTCTTTTTCTATGGCTCTGGAGCTAACCACGCCACAGTAACTCACACAGCTGCCTTTCCCCTGCAGAGAAAAAGGAGAACGTCATGTTTGTGCTGCCTCTCCATGGGGGCCACCTGGGCTTCTTTGAGGGCTCCGTGCTGTTCCCCGAGCCCCTGACATGGATGGATAAACTGGTGGTGGAGTATGCCAACGCCATTTGCCAATGGGAGCGGAACAAGTCACAGTGCTCTGACACAGAGCAGATGGAGGCTGACCTGGAGTGAGGCCTCTGGACTCTGGTGCGTTCCAGCGGCCTCCTCTGGGACCCGCGTCCCCTTGCCGGCTGTTTCAGGTCTCCCATCTCCCTCAGTGACCTGGATCTGACCTCAGACCGTCAGCAGGGGCCGCCCACCAGGCACACCTGTCTTGGAGCCAGCAACTCTTCCCAGCAGCTCTGGGGTCTTTTTGTGCTTAGGTTACTGGTCTCCTCCATTGCATTGTTAGCCATGGTGACAAGTGACAGGGTTCTCACCCACCTGTCCCATTTCAGCATTTGATTGCTTTTAAGCCAATTAAGTCTAGTTTCCCTATTAAAAATGTGTCAGAACCACAATTTTGCTTTGCCAATCAAAAGACTTTCTCCCCAAAACAGTGTGGGGTGTATGTTAGTTTTGTGATACTTGTATGTGCCCTTATATAGACCTTGAAAAGAGCTCACCGGCCTAGCCCAGCACTGAAGATGCAGCTCAGCATGGGAGATGCTGACCTCCTAGGCCAGCCTGTGACCTCTTAAATGGTAAAGGAAATTCCCTTGAGTCACAACCCAAGTTTTCTCCCTCAGTATCTTCTAAGACAGTTCTCCCACACTTCCCTAATGATGAGAGTTACCTGGGGCGCTTGTGAAAAATTCAGCCTCCCAGGTCCTTCCCCTTGGAGAGGCCGATTCCATGGGTGTAGGAAGGGGCCTGGGGATTTTAATTTTTGACCAGTGTCCCAGTTGATTCTTATCACTTGGCAAATTTGGGAAACACTGTTCCATGAGGCCTTTAAATTAGAAACATCTTGGAAGCTCATTTTATCAAAATGTGTCATCAGAACTATCTCTTGGCTCCCAGGGGCCTCAAAAGCTGCCAGGTCTGCTACGTTGCTACCCTTGCGTCACTATGTGATGTCTTGGGAAGATCCGAGTAGGAGTGAAGAGTGTGGGCTATGGCCCTGGCTCTGCTTCTCACTGGCAATATGATCCTAAAAAAAGTCCCTTTGGCCTTTAGTTTTCTCATCTGTGAAATGGTGGCCTGGGACCAGGTAGATTGCCGAGATCACTACCACTTCTGAAGTTCAATGACAAACTCGATTTACTGATGTTTGAGAGAACATCCTTCCAGGGGAGCCTGGGAGCTCTTCTCCCAGTTCAAGTGTATAGCCTTGATGTCATCATTTGCCTTTTTTTTTTTTTTTTTTGGTTCCCTCATTCCATATAGAGGTTTTTTGGTTGCTTTTTGGTTTTGTTGTTGTTTTTTAAGCACTGAATTGTAATTAAAAAAAAAAAAAAATAGGTATCTCTACTTCTGAGTTTGGAGAAAGATAATTCCAATGAAGAGGATATTGTTTTAAAACCAGATTTTTAGTTGAACATCCCATATTTGTATTCTGTTGCATACAGATCTTTCCGAAGTGTGTCTTCTCAAATCAAAATGTCACTCTAGGTTTCAGGTAGTCTTTTTCTCCAATCCTGTGGCACTTGAATATCTGAAAACCCTGCACTTTGAAAAATCCACAGTTGCTATCTAGAACTAAAGGGTACTACAGGTGAAATTGCCTGGATACTTTTAAAAAGATTTTCCCTGCATCCGCTCCTTTGGCTCCAGGATAGACAGGAATATAACAGGTCTGTGTGGATACTGAAGGAGTCCAGGGAGCCACCTGAGCACCTGAATACAGAACCTCATGGCTACAGGTGGATGTAGGTTTGGCATTGGTCCAAGTGACTGCCGGTAATGTCTGTAAGCTGAACACTTGTTTTCTGACAGTTACCACCAGATCATTCTGACTAATGACATCAGAAACAGCATTATCTGAAAGGAGTGAGATTTCTGTGGTCTCAGCTTCGCTTTGATATAATCTCTCACTCTCTCCAAATCCCAGCATTTTGACGTTTCCCCCATGTTGTCGTTTCTCCAGTGCATTTCTTTTTCATGTTCTTTTAGCACAAACTGGCACTTTATCATTTACCCCTCAATTTGGAAGCTAGTCCCTCCCCTTTGTTACTTTTCCTTCCCCTGACTCTGACCCCAGCTGTAATCTAGAAGATTCATAGACATCTCTCACTGCTACCTTCATTTCTCAAGACTCTGAAATTAGGCAAACCAAGCAATAACTTAATAGGGTGCAATCACTATCACAGAAGTGAGATAGGTTCTTCATTTGTTAGGCCCCATCTCTTGAGCTATTCTGACAAATTAGTGACCCTGGTACTGGCTCCACACAGAAGAGAAGACAGTCCTGTGGTCATACACACAGACTGCAGGGATGAGAGTGACCAGGAGCCTTTGGTCCTCAGAAGCCTGGCTTTTGGAGAGCGCAGTTCTGGTCTGCACAGCAGTTCTGGTGGTCTCCATGGAGGCAGGGCAGGGCTGGCGCCATAGCTTTGGTTGCCACACAACCAGAATTTCATCCACAGGACCACGGGGGCCAGGTCCCAGCTGAACTCTTTAGTGTGTGACTCTGAATGGCATTTACATTCCATCTTGGCTCACATGGAATCAACTGAAGCCCTTTGTTCAAGCTTCAGTCTCTCGGGCATGGAAATGAGAATGCGACTGTGGCTGTCTTAAAGGGAAGTTCTTGTAAAAGAGAGCACAGAGGCATTGAATTCACAGAGCTGTGAACTGGCCTGGTAAACAGGAGAGCAGTATTTGATGTGCAGGTCATCTTTTTCCTTCCTCCAGGTTTCCTCCCTCTTCTTCCCTAGTCATTCAGTTCTGACGATAATTTAAGTTGTCTTCTTACTATTAAGATCCTGTCTGGGTAAAAACAACCCTGAATTGTCAAAGAGCATTTAGATATTATATTTTCAAATCAGATTAGGGGCATAAGTTGCATAGACACAGACAATTCTATTATTTTATTAAAACTACGAGCGGGAAAATGCTCACATTTCTCTTGGTTGTACTCCTTTCCTTCTGAAAAACATGTGAGGCCACTGATGAGAAACTGATGCCAGTCAAATCAGGATTATCTGACCCAAGAGGTGGGGTCAAGTCCAGCCAATGCATTTATGTTAGAAAGGAACTGAACAGACTTGAAGAAAACCTCTTCTCTTTCTTGGTGTGAGTTTGTACCAGTGAATTCCAGAGCAGAATGAAGGCAGAAAGATGCCTATCATTAGTGGATGCTTTTCACCTTCCTGCAGCATTTTGCACCTGACAGGGAGCCCCATGACATACCATGAGGGTGGAAGTATAACTGAAAATGGAGTGTTCCTTTCTTGACATGATGTTATGGAACTAGGATCTAGGAGACTTGGGTTCTTCTAACTGTCTTTAATTCGCAGCAGATCTTGGGCAAGTCACTTCACCTCTCTGAGCCTGTGTTATCATCTGAGATGTCTCCAAGACCCCACCCCCAAGACTGCTTCATCTGTTTCCACATCATTTGCCTGCACATTCCTATGTGGCTTGTCAACAGCCTTTGCAGGTGGAAAGCAGATAAGTCAAGGCTCAAGGCTCCACTTGAGGGGACTTGGAGAAAGAGAAAGAGAGAGAGCCTCTGCATTAAACTTTTTCTGGTGACCAGTAACCAGTAGCCATCTAGTTGATTCCAACTCCTGGCAATACCATGGGTGTCAGAGTAAAACTGTGCTCCATAGGGTTTCCAGTGGTTGATCTCTTGGAAGTAGATCATCAGGCTTTTCTTCTGGTGGTGTTGCAGATAAGGTACTTGACTGCTAACTGGAAGGTCAGCGGTTCAAACCCACCAGCTAATCTGATCCACGGAAGGAAGACCAGGCAATCTACAGGCCTGGAAACCCAGTGGGGGTTGCTATGAGTCAGAAACGACTCAGTGAGTTTGAGTTTGTTGGGGTGTTTTTTTTTTTTTTTTTTGGTTCTTCCGAGGAAACTATGGGTAGACTCTAACCTTTTGGTCAGCAGCTGAGCTTGAGTTTGTTAATCGGATGCACTCCCCAGGGACTCCTTTCCTGGTGAAGCCTTGATACTGCCTAAATCTCTCTGTCCTTGACTGACTTCAGCATCTTCATTACCATCTCAATATCCTTGCCTGGTTCCCAGGGTGGTCTTGTGACTGGGGCAGGTGCTGCCTTTGGAATGAGGAGAATATCCCCATCCTTCAGTGCAGCTCAACAGCGCATTCAGAGTTCCCAGGGCAGAAATCCTTCCTGCTCAGGCTGTCATTGCGAAAGTGCAGTCTTCATTAAAGCTGAACTTTGTGGGTAGCTGAGCTTATACGCCAGGCATCTAAATAATCGCTGTCTTTGTAACTGTGTGACTTGAGCTCCATTCTGCCAGCTCCAGGAAACAATACGTGTGTTCTTGTTTGTGTTTTCCAGGCAAGCAGATGTCTGAGATGTGAGAGGCTTTTCTTTTCCTGTGGCATTGATTCTGACTTAGAGCGCAAGTAACGATTGCTGAAACCTCATGTTGAGTTAAAAGAACTTACAGGTCTTTATCCTTTAGGCAAGACAGGGAGTTATTAAGAAGCATTTCAGTGCAGCCTCCTGTCAAAATATCATCTGGAATCATTTTCTCTGCCCAGAAAGCCTTAACTTTGCTCTAGAGAATCCCCTGGTATTACAACAATATTGTGGCGTTAGAATTCAAACTCTTCTGCTGTGCAAGGCCGACGTGAAACCACAGCAAAACTAGAGAATCTCCTTAAGTGGCCTATGTGTTCCTCCCGCCTCCCTCCTCACCTCCAACAATAATTGTGATCCAGAACCGGCCAGCGTGCCTCATCTCTGACACCTTTCTGTCATTCTTTGCCTCGCTGTGTTTTCAAAATCCCTTTGGATTACTTGGATGCTTAAAACAAAAAAAAAAGCCCTGAAAAGTGACCTGCTTTGTGGCATTTAGAGGCTAAGCAATTAAGGGAAAGAAAAAGCAGAGGGAACTACCCACCTCTTCATAAATTAGGATTGCTTTTGCCAAATTACATTTGAAACTAAGGAAAGGGGAATGGGCCCCTGATGGCCTAGAAAACTAGGGTGCCTTCGAAAACCAAGGCTGCTTCCTCTTGCCTGCCTTGCTGCTGCTCCTGCCTCCACATT